ATTCGATTTAGTAATTGTTGTAATCATAGATCGTATTGGCAGTGTATAAGATGATGTCAGAGACTGAATCTTTAGTTGACGTTACAATACCGCAAGATGCCAAGCTAACTGTATGTGGCGATATCCATGGTACGTTATATGCCGACAGTAGAAATAGTTATTTCTTTTTTTCGCGACTTTAGGTGTTTCTAGCCAAAGCTGTTAATGATTATCAATGTCCCATCTTACTCTTAATCCCTAATACGTATAGGTCAATATTATGACTTATTGAACATATTTACCATCAACGGGCTTCCTTCAGAGAATAATATGTATCTTTTCAATGGTGACTTTGTTGACCGCGGCTCTTTCAGTGTCGAGTGCATTCTAACTCTGTTTGCGTACAAATGGTTGTATCCGAAGTCTTTCTTCCTGACTCGCGGCAATCATGAGACCGATGATATGAATAAAGTTTATGGGTTCGAGGGAGAAGTAAAGACCAAGTTCTCCCAGCAGATGTTTGACTTGTTTTCGGAAACATTTGCGAAACTGCCTCTGGCTCATGTGATCAATAAGAAGATTCTCGTAGTGCATGGAGGTTTGTTTAGTAAAAATGATGTGACTTTAGAGGACATCAGGAAAATCGATAGATTTAAAAAAAGGCAGCCAGATTCCGAAGGAATAATGTGTGAACTGCTGTGGTCTGGTAAGAAGTTGAATAACGTTTGGTATTGCATTTAGATATCTTGTAACGCACAATACTAACTGTCATTTCTAGATCCTCAATTGATGCCTGGTCGTGGTCCTAGTAAAAGAGGAGTTGGCATACAGTTTGGGCCCGATGTAACAGAGGATTTCTTGAGACGCAATAATCTAGGTAAGCTGATATGCGGGAATGCCAGATCTCTTGTTCGTAACATTTGCTTGTTGACCTTGTCTAACTTGTGTCTTACTCTTCATGTCTCCAGATCTTCTTATTCGTAGTCATGAGGTGAAGGATAACGGCTATGTTGTAGAGCACAATGGAAAATGTATTACAGTGTTCTCTGCCCCTAATTACTGGTAAGTAATTATTTGTAATTAGGAAAGGTTTAGTTTGAGTTACAGGTTATTAATAGTTCATTGTGATCGTTTCAGTGATACTATTGGAAACAAAGGCGCCCTTATAAACATTACTCCGGACTTGGAACTGGACTACACAACATTTGAGGCTGTGGTAAGTCTTACGATCATTGCAAATTAAACTTGTTAA